AAGTGCTACGCCTGCTGTGGGTTCAATGGCCGGACGATTGGAGAGAGAGTTTTAAACACCATCTAGCTGATGCTCATGATGCTCGCCCGGCGGGCTCCCTAAATCCGTCCGATCACTCGGTCGAAGTGCTAGGCCTGATGTGGGTTGAAAGGCCGGGCGATCGGAAGGAGAGGTTTAAATACCATCTACCTGATGCTCATGATGCTCGCGCGGCGTGCTCCCTCAATCCGTCCAATCACTCAGTCGAAGTGCTACGCCTGATTTGGGTTCAAAGGCCGGACGATTTGAGAGAGAGTTTTAAACACCATCCAGCTGACGCTCATGATGCTCGCCCGGCGTGCTCCCTCAATCAGTCCAATCACTCGGTCGAAGTGCTACGCCTGATTTGGGTTCAATGGTCGGACGATTTGAGAGAGAGTTTTAAACACCATCTAGCTGATGCTCATGATGCTCGCCCGGCGGGCTCCCTAATTCCGTCCAATCACTCGGTCGAAGTGCTGCGCCTGATGTGGGTTGAAAGGCCGGACGATCGGAAGGAGAGGTTTAAACACCATCCAGCTGACGCTCATGATGCTCGCCCGGCGTGCTCCCTCAATCCGTCCAATCACTTGGTCGAAGTGCTACGCCTGCTGCGGGTTGAATGGCCGGACGATTTGAGAGAGAGTGTTAAACACCATCCAGCTGATGCTCATGATGCTCGCCCGGCGGGCTCCCTAAATCCGGCCAATCACTCGGTCGAAGTGCTACGCCTGCTGTGAGTGCAAAGGCCAGACGATCGAAGAGAGAGTGTTAAACACCATCCAGCTGATGCTCATGATGCTCGCCCGGCGGGCTCCCTCAATCCCGCCAATCACTCGGTCGAAGTGCTACGCCTGCTGTGAGTGCAAAGGCCAGACGATCGAAGAGAGAGGTTTAAACACCATCCAGCTGATGCTCATGATGCTCGCCCGGCGGGCCCACTAAATCCGGCCAGACGTGAAGATTCTGTCAGGTGTTTGCAGGCCCCTCGATGGATGGAGGAATTCGTACACCACGCAGTATCCCAAACAATTGGCCAAGCGCAGGATTTAAGACGACCCTTGGTTCTACTCAAAACAAGAAAAGTTTCTGCTGTTTAATCGCGATGTTTCCTGTAATGTTGTGTCTAACACAAGTAGCAGCTGGTTAGGCCCCGCGCCCGGCATGGGTATGTTTGGTAATTGCCGAGTCAGTGGTCAGTTGTTTGGGTTTCAGGGTCGTCTGTCGGATGCACATGCCGCATCGTTGCGAGACATGGCCTATATAGCCATGAAGAAGGCCTTCATGTACCATCCCCACAGTGCGAAGCAAAGAGTCGCTGTGAAGTTGCTGTCCGAAAAAACGTGGCAACCGCCAGGAACATCTTAAATAATCGGCCGTGTTTTCATTTGCAGATATCTTAGCGCCGACTACTAAGGGATTTCGTAGGACCGTAGGATTAAAATAAAGAAACAGCCTTTTCGGAGAACCTGTGTGGAGTCTCTAAGACCCCCCCCGATACCCCAAGTAAGCTGGGAAATACACCGAAATCATCATTTGTATACAGTCACAAGGAACAGGCCCACGCCCGCCAACTGTTGCAGCTCCCACGGTGTGAGATACGAGGTACCAGTACATATGATGCAGGATTTATTCCATCCACAGCAGCTATATGAGCAGATCCGTGCATACAGGCGGATGACCTAGGGTTCCTGCTAGTAGCATTTTTTGGGAATATGAAAATACATGAGAGATATGAGCCTTCAAGTGATGCAGCATTGATCTGATCTACGAACTGTTGCGGAAGCGGTGTGGAGAAGACGTGTTAGGAATATGAAGACCCTTAGATTGGGGTTGAACTCTAAGTTCCATAGCCCACAGCCTTTTTGAACCCAGACTCTGCTGATCAGCTGGGCAGCCTAAACCCTTTTCTGCAACTGGCTTCAACCCAAATCCGAAACCCGAAACATCTTTATGTTGCTCTTCCGATCGTGTGCGCCTTCATGCCATCTTATTTTTGTTCCATGTAATTTATTACGGTAAGGCACTCATAAAACGTGCTCTCAGGATTTAGGAAGGGTTAAGCGATTCAGGTGGTTTGACCCTCGGACTAGCTGTTTGGTGACAACAACAAGGACCGCGACCACGACAACAACCACGACCACCGCCAAGGCAGCAGCCACGACCACGAACACGACCACGACCACGGCAACAGCCACGAGCACGGTCGCGGCAATGACCACGACGACGACAGCAAGAGCAGCAGTGCAAGCAGTCGTTGAAGTGCCTATCCGCCCCATGCCGAAGTCTGTCAGCTTCGCCCGGCCATCGTCAGAGAAAACCACATTGCGAGGCTTGAGGTCGCGCTGCAAAGTGCCTAACACCATGTGCAGGTGCTCCTGAGCAGTGCAGGTATAAGCCGTGCGCCCAAAAGCATGCACTGCTTTGCTCTGCCAATTTGCTTTCCAAGTCACTAAGCCAAGAAAGATTTGCCCCAACCATGTGATTGCTTGGTCTGGAAGTCGATAATGATCAGTGTGAGCCTCGTTCACCTTGTCCTGCAAGTCTCCTCCAGCACAAAACTCCATCACCAATGAAGAGAAGCACGAGCCAGTCTCGATGTAGTGGTTCCCAAAGATCTGCACAATGCACGGATGCGGATTCATCAAAACATGATTCGTTACTTCACGCTCTCGCGCGATAGTTGGCTGCCGCGAGGTGTTGCTCCGCTTCACGGCATACCACTGTCGGGATCTTAAGTCCATTGCTCGCCACACGGTACCAAACATGCCTTTGCCAAGTACAGCTTCGCGAGGCACAAAGTCTCGACGAACCATTGGCGGAGAGTTCAGCCAATCCGGAACTGCATCTCCGCGAGAATCGATTGGCACAAGGTGGTCCATTCCTTATTGAAGCTTGTTCGAGCACAAGGACTGTTACTTACATTCTACGCACGAAGCACGCCAGAAGCATGCGTAGCGAACTCTAGTCGGCCCCGCGGTGCACAACATGGCCCCTTTGGCTTCGCTGTCTGTCAGATGTGGCGCAGGCTCCCAAGAAGCTGCACCCGTTGGGATCAGCACTTGAGGAGGCCACGCGGGGCTTAAGGGACAAATGGGAGGACAACGAAATGAACGGCCTGTGAAGAACAGACATAGTAGAGTGCGAAGGCCTCAAATCAGCCGAAGACTCCTGGGTAGCGTTCCCCTTGTTTCAGGAACTCCTTGATCATGTAGTTGTTCCTCAAGAGATCATGCACAGAATGGTAGCAGTCGCCGAATAACAATGTTTCACGAACAGTGCAACAAATTAGAAAAACTGTTGATTGCTGACTTGACTGTGCCGGAGACGGAGAGATGTGATGTATACACTACGGCACATGCAACACATCAACCACCGGTGCACTAGTACCTTAGCAGTTCGCCAAGTTGCATCGACGGAAGCTTTTGGCCGCCGGCTTTCTGTGCACACAAAGAGAAAGTCCCGCACAGCCACTCCTCCGTGAGTGCTGCCACGTTAGCAGAGTTGTGCGTGCACCTGCCGCGTCGACAAGGAGCGACGGTGCGATGAACGTGTATGTCGCCACGAAAACAGCACGAGTAGCTCTGGCGACAAACGAAACAGCAAATGTCACGGCAGCACTTTCACCAAGAAACTCTGCAGTGAAGTCTTGGATGCTTCGTGAAAGCGGGGCAAATCGTTGCATGACCTCACGGTCACTTTCATCGTCGGAAAGCATGCTCACCTCGGACCGCAAAGCATGGCTTGATCATCAGGATAGGAGAACAAGATACAAAGCAGCGGGGCTTGGCACATGTAATGCGTGAACCATGTGTTACAAAGCCTGGGCAGGTTTTTTTCACCACACGAACCACTGATCGAGATGCATGCTTCAATGATGCACGAAATCACACAGAAAGACGTGCATCAGCGATCCATCACACGCACTTTCCTTATGTGTGGCGAGTCACTTGATTGCAGAGCGAGACCAGAAAGCTTTGCATTGTGCTGGTGACTTTCTCAGTCGGTAGATGCAAAGCTTTTGGAACTGCTCGCTGCAGTATCTCCAGACCGTCTTCTCCTTGTAGAAGTTGGGCCAATGCTTGCGCAAACTTCGCCAACGAGTGACGTCGTGGATATGCTAGTACACTTTGCAAGTTCGGTAAATCATTCACCGAACAATTGAAGCTGCAACGGACTGTGATCATTCCACAACCATTGGCGAGAGAAATCGTATGCTCTCTTGAAGTGCCCGCCAGTTCCGTCGTGCTGATCGGCAAACGTGCGACACTCACTAAGGCATCCTGACAAATACGACGCACTCGGTAAACTTTGATTGTCCTTGGTCGGCCAAGTTTTACAACAAACACCATGATAAAAAAAACGCTCACGTAGATGCGGGGTCCGTTTCGAAGCCACGCTAAACTTTTGATCGGGCGATTTGTCTGTCATTTCACCGAGGATCATCTCAGGAATTCGCCTGTCAAGCAACGTGGATGCCAATGACATGGAGGCCAAGGAGCTGGCCCGGGGACCCAAACCAGGATCATAGGTGACAATGTCCTCAAGAGTGAACGGAATAGGGGCATGGGTGAAGCTGACATCGCCATGGCTCGGAACGTGCACGATCTCGGTCTGTCCCTGCCCCCTGCCGACGGAAACTGTCACATACAATCGCCAAGTATGCGGATGACCGAGTAACCACCGGCACACCTTGAGAATGCTGTCTCCACTCAAGGAGGTGGGAGTTTGCAGCTTGCTTCCTGTGAGAATCCTCACCCACAGCAAGCTACTGGGTGACGGGGCCGCCGTCGCACCCGGAGCAGCACATTCTGCAGAGTCCGCAGAAGCGGAATGCCCCATCGGAATCCGAACTCATTCCATGGCTGGGCACACCCTGCCGAACAACAGCCTTTCAGCTCATAACCATTGTAATTACCTCGATTAGCGTGTCTTGAACGTGGATGATCTCAGTAATGATTTGAACTTTCACGGTTTAGGGACTGCTTCTCAAGGTGCGCATTTATAGAAATACAAAACTGACATGCCTAGCTGACCATGTCTAGGGCATCTGAGTGAACATCACAAGCTGATCCGAGCCCCATCCAGAACCGGAAGACCAAGGGCATAGCTCGAGTATGACTTCGCCCGCTCCGTTTGGAATTGGTTTGGAGTCAAAACCTATCAAGACCAGGATCCGCCTGCACTACACGTAGTATATTTTCTTGAGACTCCTCCACACACAAACCGGCACTGCCGCAGTGCTGCCCCGAGCTCCGATGACCACGAAGGAGACATTTCTTGCAATTTCACGGGCACGGCTGGTGGCTTCGGGCTCGAAAACGCCACGGTTCCCGCAAAGCTCGGTGGTTTGTGCGATGAACACGTGCATGTGCAAGAGTGTCTGAGTCTACAGTGTTCTGAAACCTTGGGAGACACGCCAAGAATGCATGGGTCGATGCAGGTCAAGGAACTGGCCGATAGTGGCGGCACGGTCTGGGCACCCACAGCCAGGCGACAGGGCCGTGCTCAGCGCCGGTCCTCAGCAACTCCTCGTTTCGGGGTCTGAAGTCAGAGGCCGCTGGAAAACCCGGCATCCGGCACGTGGCAGCGCGAGCCCCCGGTATGCGGCGGGTTTGCGCCGTTCCGCGACTCTCAAAGCGGCGCCGTCGGCCTCGGCCGCACATGGCTTTCGCTGGCCTGTGTGCGTGAGTGGGAAGGCCGCTGTCGCATCGCAACAAAGCGCGCCGCCCAGCGGAGCAAACCCATTTCCCAACCCGGTCCTGTGAATGAACAGTCGCGCACGGTTTACACCACGCGTCAAAGTGCGGCCTGCTTTGGTAATTCCTTGCATGGCCTATCCATGCATGCACGAAGACGCAAGGTGTACCGACGAGGATGGGATGTGCAAACAATGCCGGCCGACAATCCGTTATCAATCTCTATAGGGAACGTGGCTCGGATGATTTCTACCACCGCTGCCACCGCACCCTCGCTTGAGGTGGTCGTCGCAGCTGGTGTCCTAACATGTCCCAACTCCGCGCGGTCTTCGGAGGACGTGCCAACGGCACGCACGAAAGTTTGACATTACAGGCCAATCACGGAAAGGCCGGTCAGGTAGGCTAGCGCCTGCACCTGGCCGTCGTCGCCGAGCGAGGCTCCCAGTTTCGCAAAATTGCGCTGCTGCTGCTGCTGCTGCTCAACGGCATCCTGGTTTTCGTGGGGGAGGGCGGCGGCGCCAGCAGACCGCGACAAAGCGAGCACGAGCATAGTGGCCTGTGTAATTGGGCGCGAAGCCGGGCGTGTGTTAAGGTGGCTTGCCCCGGCTCGAGAATGGGTCATATAGTTCTCCTCGTCCGGGTCGTTTGAATGGAGTTGACATTGAGCTTGTGGGTAACCCAAAAATGGCGAGGTGGAGCCGACGCAGGTCATCTTTTGCGACGCTTGGCGTGGTGGTGTGTGTCAGCCCTTGTTGGGGGACAACCCGTCCTTCCGCGGTGCCGCACGACGCACCCCCATGCTCGCTCGAGTATTATGGGGCGCGCTATGGCCAGCAACCCACTCCGGGCGCAGGCGGCGCGGTGGTCTCCCGGCTGGTCAACCACGGCCCGGCAACTTAACTTGCCATGTTCACTGCAAAAAGATGCTGCAGCGGCAAGCGCCAGCGTCGCCTGAGGGCGACTCGCATGTCCAACGGCAGGAGCATGGGCAGTTGATAGCAATTGCAGTAGATCTCGCCCTTGGCGGTCCGTCGACTGCGTCTTGCCTGCAGGCGGCTGTGGCTGCGCCGAAGGGTGGGGTTGCTTCGCGGGGCTCAGCCCACGCCCTCCGAGCCCTCAGTGCCCGGAGGATCCCAGAAATTAGCTTCATGGTTAGCTGAGGTGGATCACACTTCTTATCATTTCCTATCGCGGGTGCTTCTTCTGCAGTTTGACGCCGAGTTCGCCCATGAGCACAGAAGTCTGGAGGAGAGTTTCCGAACCATACCACACGCATGTGCCCCGGCCGACAGCACCTAAAATAATGTAGCCGTTGCGGCGCTCGTACAATTAGAATACTGTAGCATACCCCAACACCCTATTCATTGACCTGCGAGGCGTCAATCAACAACTGCAAGGCTGCTTTGGGATTTTCATTCCCAACGGAGCACTCAATTAGTATAAGGGCCCGAATAATTACCTATATTATTTTGGGGGCTCCTTAATATAACTTTACAACAAAAAACCATTACTTCAGGGTGTTGAGTTTGGGGCTTAGGGTTTTCGGCTGGTTTGGACTTTTGCTCAAATCCTGAAACTCTAAACCCAAATCCTAAAACTCTAAACCCCAAATCCTTAAACCCTAAATTCTACACCGTGCATCCTATACCCTTCACCAGGTCCAAACCCTTTTGAAACCGGACTTGATGACTGCCAGCATTGCCTCTTCTGCCGTTGTTCAGCCGAAGCCCGCAAACACCCTGAAACTCAAACCCGAAAGCCGTAATCCTTCAAACAGCCCAAAACCCTAAGCCTTGCCCTGAACCTTGTTTTCAAACCAATCCCTCGCACTTTTTCAGCTCCTGCAAGAGGGGCTCGAGTGCATAGACGCTGTCTGTACATTACAATTAAAAACAACTGCCCCAAAGAAGTCGCCCTCCCCAAGGCGATCCGGCTGTAGGGTCACGGCTGCCAGTCGAAGGGTTGCTTCTTGCGCACCGGGGCTCGGGATGAAGGCAGCGAGGATCTCTTGTTGCATCGCCGTTCATTTGCTGGTGACGGCTGAGGGCGGCCACCGTAGCGGCTGCTGCAGCAGTCGCAACCTTCGCCAAGTCGGCTCTGATGCTCGCAGAGGTCCTCGCCTGTCTTTGCCCCTGCCTTTGCCGCCGCCCTTGCTTCCTTTGCCCTTCTCCAAGCCCCGAGGTGTGACCGGGCTGCGGCTGCGGCTTCGGCTATCGCGGCGCCTTGCTGTTGGTTCAGGTTGCTGGGACAGAGCTCGCAAGCCATCGACCACCCCCACCAGAAGGGAGGCCGCCGGCCGGGCAGCCGCTGGCTGTAGGGCTCGTCCCTGGACCAAGGCCTGCAGCTCACGGAAGGTTGAGCACACAATGCAGCAGCCCTCAATGGTTGCCCGGCATGCATCGGCAATGTTGGCGTGGGGGGGGCGAGGTAGGAGGGCAGCAAAAGGTCCTGCGGAAACGGCTGCGACGAGCAAGGTTGCAGGCTGCCAGAACACTCCCGAGCACATGTCGCCAACTTGTGCGGCATCGCTGTAGCACTTTGTGCCCGTACGGGGTCCGTCGCCGGGCCCTTGGGCTTTCGTGGAAGGGCAGTTGCGCGATGGGGGGCTGGCGAAACGTCTCCGGAGTTTCAGGATGTTGCCTGTGGGCGACGCGGGCGTCCACGGGGCGCGCGCTTTGGTGAGAAGGCAGGCAAGGGCGGAACGTGGGGCGCAGTGGCTTCGCGCAGCACGCGGAACAGGAGCTCCGACGGCGTCTGCCCAGCTGCCGCTGCCAACTCCGCGAGCTCCGTCTCGCCGCCCTCCGCCACGCAGGTCAATAGTTCCAGACCGCAACGGTCCAAGCAGGGGCGGGTGAGGGGCGAGAAGCGGAGCGCACCCACACCGCGGCCAGCGACGCAAAGCGAACTGGTACGGGCGTGTTGCCTCATCGAAAGAGGGTGTGCTATGCCTCTCACGCCACCGTCCTCCTCTCGGCCCTCCCTCGCAATGTGGATCACCTCAAGCGCAAACACGAGCACTTGGCGCACTTTTGGAATGAGGAACCGGGCGTGCGGTGTGGCTTTTCCATGTGGTGGGCCGCGCGGCTCGGAATGGCGGTCAACCGCGACCGCGAGCGCCGGGCCGCTGGAGCACGCATCCTGCACTGTGGCTATCAGGTAGCGGTCCAGCTCACACAACTGGCGGACTGCCCAGCCAACATGGACGAGCATTGCTGGGCAGTCCTGCGTGCTCGAGGCATGAAGGGAGGTCCGGCAAATGGTGGACGTGAGCCGGTGCTGCCTCAGTGGCGTTCCGCACCGTTCCGGAAGTACATGGGGTGGAACCGGGCCAGACGGTTGAACCAAAAGCAGCAGTAGTGGTTTGTACCCTGTTGCGTGGGTGAAAGTCGTCGGGCTTTAGGGCAAAATGAAGCCGAGGAAGCCTACCCTGACACTGAGTGTGCCCCCCACTCCCCCGCTCTAGACCAAGCTCCCCAAGATCGAACCCTCGAGCCGAACACTCCAGCCCAACACGGCATGCACTTGTGGTTCATTTGGCAAGTCCACCGCAAACGGTCGTCTCGTCCCTGAAGGCACCGGATCTTACGGGGGTTGATATTCGAGGATGGCTGTCGCAAAGGACAGATGGCGTTGGGGGCGTAGGGACTCCGTTGCACAAAGCTTCGACAAGGCTTCGTGTCGCCCCCGGAAACATCGCCTCCGCCGGTTTTATAACCGTCCTATGTTGTAATCACATTGCGGCCATGGGCGGCACAAGTGTGGACTTCGTCAGGGGCTGCCGCAACATGAACTGCTATGGGCACGTGTCCTCATCCGCCGTGCGGCCGGCATCGGCGCGTGGCAACCGGGCTGGGTTTGCCTGGGTTGTGCAGAAATAAGGTTGGCGGACCCGGCGGACGCAACGCAACCGTGTGGCCGTTGCGGACGCGTACTGCAACGGGAATACGACCGTGCAATTCGGCAGGGGCAACTCAACTGCACGCCGGGTTGCGCTTTATCGGCCCGTCCTCCCGCACTGCAGGCACCATCTGGTCCACCCACGGAGCCCGGCGAGGCCCGCAGGGCAGCATACTGGCTCTCGCGATTTTCGTGCAGCACTATCAAGCCCATCCAACTTTTTTTTTTAAAGCGCCTTTGGCGACT